TCGGTGGTACTTACCAAAGTGATCTGCGAAGTGAGACTTCAGCAAGAAGCATCCACATAGATCAACTGTGCACACGACTAATGGAGATGGGGCGCGGGTGGCAGATGGCGCGGGCGGAGGTGAGTCGCCGTTCATACGTTCGAATGAGGAAAAGAGGAAGTTGTCGGAATTTAGTCCATCCACCCGTTTTAATTAAGTTACGGAGGGTTATATAATTTTATAAAGGTTGTGTGAAGTTTCTTTCACCCTTGCGTCGACCGTAGATGTCACCGCCGGTACCATATAAGGGGTACATCGATTGTTATTAACGGTATGATCACCGGTGAAACCCCCCATCATAATTTGCTGTATGGGTGGTAGAAGTGGAGATGGAAACGACGATTTGGCGGAGCTATTTTGTACGAAAACGGAGCGGAGGAGGACAAGCATATGTTTTATTTATAGCAAGCATATGTTTTATTTATAGCCAATGAAATTTGAGTACCACTTATCCGAACCAGATTCCTCGGCCGTCAAGCGGACTATTAATGGGCTTAGTCTATGACGCAATGCAATGATGGCGATTAGCCAATCAAACGGCCTTTAAGCTTACTACCGTATACCCCCCGCTTCAGTACCTATGAAAATGTCAGTGAAATCTGATCACAATCCACATGGTACCTTGAAAACTATTCAGGCATGCGCATCGGTCTAAATCCATCACAGGACTTATATTGCATTGGATGAAAATAATTAACGCATGGTGATTGGATATATTTCTGTACTCGCCCAACCTAAACCATCGTCATTGGCCGATATGTTCCAAACCGGTACAGGTCCAACCGGAGAAATCATAGGTACTGAAGCGGGGGGTATACGGTAGACTAACTTCCTGTGAACTGTAACTGATAGCTGCAGTATTCACAGTCAATTCTTGTACTTGAATGGGCTGCTTAGCTTTCTAACGTATACTAGTATAATGTAATATCCAAGCATGCACAACCTCATTCAATGCGCGGAGCCATAATCGATATAATAGGAGGTTGCTTTTATCCACAAGGTATGGTCATATTAAAATTTATTGCATTGTTTGATCAAAAACTGTGTAATTGGTACGAGGCCTACTCTAAGTTGTTTCGGGGTTTCGAAGTAAGTATTTACCTGCTCAATGGTGCCAGGGATACTGTACAACAAGATGTATGACTTTGTAACGGAGTTTCACGTTAACGTTAGGATTGTACTTACGGTATCGTAGCTACACGTACTCAAGGACGTTTTAGGTACCAAATCCCTGAGTGGGCATTCGACCAATTGGTCCGCCTACGACTACCACCTCTGCTGTTTACACTCGCTTGGCATCATTTCACTGGTGGGAGCAATGGTTCACCCGCCAGACAGGCCCAATGATCCAACGGGGACAAAAGGAGATAAGAACTACAAGGTCATTGTCAATGGCTTGGGTGTGCCAGCCACAGACCATACCAAGTGAGTTCTCACAGCGTATCTGCCAATCACATTAGACACTCAACTCTTTAACACGATTGCCGCAGGTATTTCGTGTTAAGTAGGAAGTTACGCGCTCTAGATGTAGTTAGTTGCCGCCTTTGGACGCCTCTTGGCTGGGGACGTACACGTATTGGTAGTACACCGCCGCCACAACGGCCAGCACAGACACGATCAGCAGCACGTTGTTGCCGCCGCCACTGGAAGGACTTGCCTTGTCCGCCGCCTTTTGCGCAGCCTTCTTCTTCTTCTCTTCACTCTCCTTCAACGTGCCGATCAAGTACTTTTCCAGCACCTTGCGCGCGTCCAACGAGTGCCCGATGTCTTCGAACTCTTCGTTGCCATCTTTGCCCGCCAAGTCCAGCACGATCTCGGGGCCGCCTGGGTGGTCGTCGAGGTACTTGGTGATGTCGTAGACCTTCTTGGCACCGTCTTCGCCGATGATGATCCAGCAGTCGTCCGCAGTCTTGTGGGACGACACGTCGGCTTCGGTGTACACCTTCAATTCGCTCGCCATCTTGTGTATGGGAATATGATGAACTTGAAATCGCCAGTCATTGCCACCTCTGTGGCGACGTCATCGCCTGACACGACGATTGCTTGCTTCATATCATGCATTAATAATTTAATTTATATCTATACAATGCTAACAAAGCCGACGAAAATGATTTTAAATGCATCGTCGTGATCTGGTAGATCTCAACAACTGAATCACCAAACAAACTTGAGGTTTGTATGCCCTAACGTGATTTCCTGAGATTGGAACCCACCAATCAACACAGGAATCCGGATAGGTCCCCGAAATACAAGGGACAATCACACGCCGTTCAAAATATTATCCATGGATACCAATTGAAAATACGTATATTATCACCAAGTTGTAACTGCTCTGAACAGTTTCACAATCAGTTTTTATTTCAGGCGCCCTTGCTATTATTAGCCGATACTACTTGGCATGGTGGTGGTTGACATCAACCACCACTATGCCAAGCGAGTACTTCCAGAAGCAGGAAAATGGTCCGATGGGGTTGTTTTCACTATGCGACTGTGAATTATACTTACGCGGATTGAAACGCCGCTGATTTTCAGCTTTGCCACGCAGTCCAACCGAGTCATTGCGCTCACTTCGAGTATGATCTGGAACTGCTTGGCGTCGGAGCTGCTCCTCGGCGAAGTCTACCTGGCCAACTACAGGTTGAACACGATTCAAACGGCGCTGATTGGTCGAAACCTGCAACGCGACGGCTCTGGTCCCTACCTCCCCCGTCGTAACCGAGCGCGCCCTAGTGGTGTTGCGTGGCAGCATCCGCATCACTTCTGGCGCTGGTTTTGCTGGGTCCAGGGACACTATCAAGACATTGGGCACCACTGTGATGACCCACACATCCGTGTCTTCGGTCAACTTGAAGTGAGATCGACCGATAACTGGGTCTGTCCTCATGGGCAGTTCCATGCGCAACATGATATGGGGTACTACCCCAACAGCTACTACAACATGCTCAAGCTATTCCCTAACGGATCTGACTTTGTCTTTCAAAGCACTGCGCTGGGGGGAATGTTTGGCGGGTACAATGGGTTCAAGTTTGACTTTGTGCACCCCACGACTAACTTCAAGCTGGCCGAGCGGCCTGTGGCGGCTGGCTCTGGCTACGCCTACGACTGGTTCGCCCAAGAGCGCGACATTGCCGCTTGGTATTCCAAGTACGAATGCCACCGGGGGAACAACCTCATCGACAAGGCGGCCCTTCGATTCGGTTCGTTGGATCCTTCGATAGAAATTGCGTGCTTCCAAGCCCTCTTCAAGCGCATTGCGCAGGCGTCGTGCTGCAGTGGCACTGAATCGAATAAGCAGCATCAAATCGGCAGAGAATCGATCGACCAATCAAAACACAAAACATGAATCAACTAGCCAATGAAATCAACTTTTTGAATAATTCATCATAGAATTAGTGTGATACTGGACTACTTATCTTTACATTGCAAGAGTCAGTAACGTTAGAATCGATCGATCGATTTGGCGAATCAGCACAAATGTCCAAATATTCGGTAAAAGGACAATATTAACTCCTTACTGTGTGAAATCAAATCAGTTATTTTATCATTATCATGGTATACAGTAAGCTACAAACAGTACTGTGTCAGTAAATTGTGCTTCGATATTTTTGGTAGATTCGACTAAATCGTCGAGGGTCGTTTTACTTGAACTAACTATACTCACTGTGAACTCCTGTCCGATACAACTTGAACTCTTTGTGAAATGGAGAAGCTTGGCAATGCACCGGATACGCCTGTAATTTGATTGGTCGAAAGGTTAATTTCGAAAATTTCATTGGCTAGTTTGTTCCATCGATTACTCCGTCGATTACTCCGTCGATTTTGCTTCGTCGATTCCATTGGCAGCCCCAGTCCATTTTGAAATCGAATTACCAATATTCCTTCTCCCTAGCTCTCAGTGGCTACCAATACTACGGTCCTTGTGAGATGACCCATAATCAATCATCCATATTCCTTTAACTGGCAATTCTACTTTGGAGCGGCCTCGTCTCGGTTTTTCATAGTAGCCATTGCTTGGACCAGCTGGTTAAAGTCTTGTGGGGTGATCACTCGACATACGAGTGGCTCCACCGTCCGTCCGGGCAGCAGATGCACCAAAACATTCTGACGCGCCATCAGAAACGACTGAGTGCCAGTTTGAACCCCGCGCCACCCTTCCAGCACAATGCCAAGCAAGGACCACCGTCCATTTCGCTGGCTGAGGTGCCCCACCGGCGGATGTGGACGAACTTTAGTATCGTCGGGGATACCACTACTCCCGACGGAAACCGAATGAACTTGACAGGTTTTCGGGGACAAGCGCCGATCAACGACCAAGGCACTATTGAACGCGATGCAGACGAATCCACTGAGCAGCGCCACCAGCCAGATCCCAATTAATGTTGCTATGGCGAAGTTGTAGTTGGGGCTCTGGGTTGCCACTAGCAGCGCGTACACCGCAGCAGACAGACCTGCTTTGACCACCCAGTGGTTGTGCCGATGGCTAACGACGAGGCCGCCCAATTCCATGCCCAAATGAATGGCCCACGTCATCCCCAATGTAATGATGAGCTCGTCAAAGTACGGTCGCCGAAACGACGTCGTGGACACGACAAACCCGGGGTCTTGAGGCATGCGGAAGGCAAACTGCAGCGCCAATGAACTGGACGCCAGCGTGGCCGTTTCGTGGATCGAGATGACCCCGCCCATGCTCTGGAAATGCGTGGACAGGAGCAGGCCGAGCTCCCACTTGGCCAGGTCGAAACGCGTGAGATGCCACATCCGGTACAGCTTAGCTACATATCGAAGGGCGATGAATACCCCCAACGCATTGAGCATCACGCCGATGGCCCATGCACTGAAGAGCACCACGCGGAGGTTGGCAGACGAGTACGACGCCCGGACTTCGCCGCTGCTGAGGGTTTCCGACCAGCACCGAACGGATCGAGTCAGGTATCGAGTTTCGAGGGTGTCGTAGCACACAAGGGAGTGGTGCAGCACGTCCACGTTGTCCTGAAACGGGTTCTCTTTGGTGCTGAGGCGCATTAAGCCTACACCCAGCGGAGTGTGCGTCCACTGGATGGGCGGGCCTTGGAATGGAAACAAAGCGTCAGAGGTGCGATTGGTTGGTCGGGTATCGGACAAGTACTCCAACGGCACCCGCACAGTCAGTTGCAAGTCTGCCTCCATCTTGGTTTGCACCGGAGCAGCACGAACGATGATGTCTTGAACCAGACTCGAAAATGCCGGAAATACCTTTTCGTACATGGTGTCGAGCGTGTCGTCCTTGGTCACGCCTAACGTTACGATCGAATTTCGATATTCAATATTGTGAATTCGCTGCTAAAAACGTCCAATATATATTTTTATAAATTCCGTGGTTTGACTAATGAAGTACTACTTCGTAGTAATATCGGATCACGCTGAAGTTCTGATAATTTGAATACAGTATACTTGTCCTTTGTGTCAGAGCCAACCAAATCCACTCAACATCGAATTAGCCAATAGCGTCGATTAGTGATTCGATTCGGCGAGTCACAATATATACGATGGATTTTCTACAAATTTCCGTTTGATTGGCTGGCCCGACTCACGCATTGAACAATATATCCAATCAGCGACAAGAAACTTCAGATTGACCAATGGCAGCGATTCGTGGTCAGTTTGGTCGATTGAACAGGGTCCAGAAATTCATACCAAATCCATACTATATATAGATAAACATATATATCGTCCGTACCGTGCAACGTCTGGCCGATGGGGCAGTGGGGCGAGTCTCTGAAATTCACAAGCCCGAGTTCGATTTCGATGAGCGACGTCAGCGAGTGGTTCATTTCGGTCATGATTTCGTCGTGTAAGTAGGACGCGTTGTACACTTGACTTAGCGAAGTCACGAGGGGAATCAGTGGCCAGCCACTGCCGAGATTGGACGACACGAACAGCGCGTTATACGAGACATGCACGCGGCCTCCGTACGCGTTTTCCCCCACCACTTCGTTCACAGTCATTTGCTGGAGGAACCAATCATGATTGGACACGTCGTTCTGGGCAGACATAAACACCAAGTACTGCAGCCCCGGATGCAGCCGCAGCGCTGTGAGCCACACAATTTGACTGACTCGTCGCATCAGAGCCTGGTAACACGACGTCTCATAGGTGTCGGTGGTGACAGGCTCCATGATACCGTGGGGGTATTTAACGCGAATGGTGCCGAAGTGCTCAGTCACGCGACTTAGGAGGTTTCCCGTGCCTTTTTCGTTTTCATACGCCGCGTACCACTTGGCAATAGCTGCGTCTTGGTCGAAATATAAGAGCGTCGAGTCGTTCAAGGTAGAGGGTGTGGTGGGGCGCTCAGAGAGTTTGAACACCCCCATCGTGTTGTGCAGCATCGAGTCTTTGAACCCGAGGTAGCCCCCATATCTGCCACCCAATAACCTTGTTTCGACGATCACGGCGTTGTCGTCCGGGCCTGGTAGAATTCGCCGGGTGCTAAAGTATCGGTCCTTGTCCGCTACCAACGTCCGGATATGCCGCACAGAGCTGCCTAATGTATCGGCGTTGCTTAAGCCCAGGTCCCGCTTGATGGTAGTGCTCGAGATGGCAGTCGAAGTCATGGGTGTCGAGAACAACATGTGCGTAGTCTCTTCAAAGCTGAAATACCCCGCCGCCGACGTAATGTACAGGCGCTCACGTTGGAGAAAGTCGACAGCTTTATCGTGCACAAGGGGGTTTCGGGGGTTCGGGGTTTCAGGAGCTGCTGCGTTGTACAAGTATCTTGACTCGAGTGCAGTTTGAACCAGCCACATCGTGTAGTTGGCAATGTACACGTCGGTGAGCACGAGCTCCGAGACCAGACAGTCGTAGATCGTAGTAGCGATTTGCGATTGGGAGGTTGTAGCATCATTGGACACGAGGGCGAGCAAGTCGGGTGATTCGATCAATTCGCCATCGGGTGTGAATTGAACCGACTCAAACGCCCGCCTCGAGTTGAAAAACTCGACGACCTGCGGCCAGTCTTGTTTGGCAAACACTTGGCCCATGATGGCAAAGAAATAATCGACAAACGTGATCAGCCCCACGGTGTTTTGCCACCCGACGACGGGGTCCGGGGTTTCGGGGTTCCGGGGTTTCGGGGTGAACAGCGAAGTCATATTCACACGGGAGTAGGTGGCCCCGAAGGTGTTGGCGCTGGCACAAGGTTCACCAGTGGCGTCGACACAAATGACTCCGTCTAACATCGATTCTTCCGCCTTGCAATGGATCGTGTACTTGTATGTCGTTCCGTCTGGGTTGTTTCGAACAACGTTTTCTTCACGGGGGGTGAACGATCCAGCGGGAAACTCGGACGCTTGGAACACCATCGCATACAATTGGGCAAACATTTGGTGGTCGGCGGGCGACAGCATTTGCCCGAGGCTGTCGATGGCATACTCGCCAGACGTTTCGAACACTTTGCGGACGTCTGCATTCGCGAGCGAAATGTCCAGCACCCGGTGAACCACCGCAAGAACCTCCGTGCCCGTAAACTGGAGCTTGGAATGATTGGCAAAGTCTGCGAATGCCGTCGTGGTGGTCGATGTGTTGTCGTAGTTAAAGGTCGGGATGGGAAACAGGAGGATGTTCCGAAGTGGCATCCCCAACGCCCACAGAGCCTGTCCGATCACGACCAGCGTTACCGCCCCCATGCGCAGTCTCCCCGACGATACCTTGGACGAGAGCGGGTGGTGGGTAAAGTCGATTTTGGGCTTGACGTAGCTCTTGGCTTTGGCCATGTCGTGGCCTCGACTTTTGTCGGCGCTGTGGGCACTTTCGAGCGCGACGTAGTTGGCATGGTTCACCACATGCAACTTTTGCACTTGCACACCCGCCCGACTGTTAACGACAACCAAGAGATCGCTGGCCGCGCTCTTAAACACCACCGTGTCCACGTCTGTCACACATGTCCAGCCGTGCAGCACCATCCGCATATACGACCACTCAGTGCCTCGATGTTGGAGGACGCCCTGCAGCTCCACTGCGCTCACCCCCGCCCGTTGCAACGCAGCTGAAATCACAGCATCGTTACACGTTGGCGTTCGTTTGAAGTACATGTAGCTGCCTTGGGTTGCTACAATAGCAGCCACGGTGGACAGTGCACAAGACAACGCTAAGCTGGACATGGCGCGATTATACGTTCGATCGGTGGTTGTGTTGAGGATGCGGAGTAGGTAAACCCCTGAAAACACGACAGCCCGCACTCCGAACACCCGATGGCCCAGTGTCACAGATTTGTCCTGCAGTTGAACCAGCGACCTGCCAATGTCCGTGCCTAGGCGAATGAACCACGTGATGCCCAACGACACCATAAGTTCATCCAAGTAGATGCTGCCGAGGTACGAGTTACTCGAGTGGGCAATGTATTCGCTGTCCTGGGGCAGCTGGTACCCAAACATAAACGGCGCCGCACTACACGCCATTAACGCGCACTTTGTGAATGGACTCATGCCGAACTCCTGAACATCGATGAACAGCAACGTCCTCCACGATTCATTCAGGCCGGTGACTTTGGCTACATGGATCATGCGGCGCGCATAGCTCAGCGCCACCACGGCTGCAAACAAGTTGAGCACAATTCCCATACTCCACACGCTGAGCAGCAATGTCCGCAGAGCTTCGGAATTGTACTGCGCTCGTGTTTCGTTGATGTTGCCGAGCTCACTCCAGCACCGAGTGGACACATTCAGGTACCGCGTCTCGAGCACGTCGTAGCACACCAGCGAGTTCTTGAGGAGCTTTTTGACAATGCCTTCGTCGGGGCTGGACTTGGCACTCAGCCGCAGCAGCCCCACGGACAACGGCGTGTGGCTCCAGTATACGGGGGGACCCACGTACTTGAAGATCGAGTTGGTGCGGGTGTCGTTGATGTACTCCCCGCGCACTTGAATTGATTGGCCTAGCTCCAATTCCATGCGCACTCGAATAGACTCAACTTCTGCCAGAATGTCATCAATCAACAAGGCCAGGGGGGGGTACATCTTGCTGTACGTAGACTCGGCCGTGTCATCCGCAGTGATCGTGTCCGATAGCGAGCACTGACTAACGTCGTGAAAGTGGAACGAGCCAGAGATAAAGTCCACCAGCTGAAGAAACGTCGTGTTGAGCTTCTCGAGCACGTTAGCCGCCACCGCCGCCGCCCCATGTTTAAGCACAAGGGCGCTTAATATCGGAATCATCGGCCAAGCGGTGCCAAATGCAGCGGAAACATGGGTCGGGTTGAATGGCTGGGGTACTCTGTAGCCGTATGAGTTCTCGGCTACGATTTCGTTTTTCAGCATTTGCTTGAAAAAGTAGATTTCAGGCGTCGACTGGGCGTTCACAGACATGAACGCCAGGTGTTCCGACGTTGGATGCCACTGCAGCAGTACCAGCCACGATGCCTGCGCGATGCGCTTGAAGAGGGCTTGGAAGCACGCAGTGGATCCACTCGAAGCTCCAAATCGAAGTGCTGCCTTGTCGATGAGGTTGTTCCCCCGGTGGCTTTCGTACTTGGAATACCAAGCGGCAATGTCGCGTTCTTGGGCGAACCAGTCCGAGGCGTAGCCAGAGCCAGCCGCCACCGACCGCTCGGCCAGCTTGAAGTTGGTCATGGTGTTGTGCACAAAGTCAAACTTGAACCCGTTGTACCCGCTGAACATACCCCCCAGCGCACGGCTTTGAAAGACAAAGTCAGATCCGTTAGGGAAGATCTTCAGCACGCTGTAGTAGCTATTGGGGTAGTACCCCATGTACATTATGTTGCGAATGGAACTGCCCATGAGTTGGGATCCAGTCATCGGCCGATCTCGCTTCAAGTTGATCGACGACACGGATGTGTGGGTCATGATTGTGTTGCCTAGCAGCTTGATCGTATCTCGCGAGCCAGCGTAGCCAGCTCCAGACGTGATACGGATGCTGCCACGTAGCACCACAAGCGCTCGCTCCGTCACAATCTGGGACTTTGTGACTAGCGTGGTGGCGTTGTACAGGTTTTGCTCGATCAAGACCGATTGGATCAATCCCAACGTGTAGTTGGCAAGGTATGCTTCGCCCAGCAGCGCTTCGGTGGCCAGGCAGTTCCAGATCTTACTCGAATTCAGCGCAATGGCTCGGCTAGACTGAGTCGCGAGGTTGAAGATCACAGGGACTTCGACGACATTGCCCTCATCGTCAACTTGTATGTACCCCATGTCCAAATTCTTGGACGCGACGACGGCGGCCCAGTTTTGCTTGGCAAACACGAGGCGCATGTAGTAGTGAAAGTACTCGACCAATCCCAGCAGCCCAATGTTGTTTTGCCACCCCGTGCCGTTAAGTAGTGGGGTAAAGTCCACGTCTTTCAGCGTTCGAGTTTGAGTATCGCCCCACGCACTGTCGTCGCAGGGCAGTCCATTCGCATCAATGCATGTGGTCCCCCCCATGAGGGTTTGATCCCCCCGACACCCAATCGTGTACACTTGCTTGGTTCCGTCCGCCTGGGCACTGACAACTCGGTCCTCACGTTCTGTGAACACCCCCCCTGGAAACTCGGACGACTGAAACACCAGCGTATAGTACTGCGCCATGGTCTTGTGGTCGATAGGTGACAGCACTTGGCCCAGCTTGTCGATGGCAAAGTCTTCTTTTTGCTGAAATATTGCCCGAACTTGGGCATTTCGGAACGATATTGCGAGCACATCCAGCAGCAGCGCGTGCACTTGATCTCCAGAGAACGTCAGGTTCCCGTCGGGGTCGTACCCTTCGTAGGATTGTTTTGACGTGGACAAGTCGTCGCTTCGAAATTGCGGGTATGGAATGATCAGCACGTTTTTGATGGGAATCGCCAGTGTCCACAACACTTGGAGAGTTAGACAGACCAATACACACCGCCGGAACCACGGTTTGTCTGGGCTGGTCCTTTGCGTAGTCACTAGCTGGGGCGGGGACTTGGACAACTCTGCCATATTGTCGTGCCGTGGACTGATCATCCTGCTTTTTATCGCAAGTTTGGGCAAGTGATGTTGTGGAAAATTTTAGCAACGACAGGTTTCGGGGGCATGGACGTTTCATAAACCATACTATTAATACAATAGTTGGGGATTACGAAACTATTAATAATAGCCAGACAATCCATAGGACTGCGAAAGAAATAGTTGTTTCGTAGTCCCAAGCAATCTAATTCGAAGTATCTTACTCATTGTATGTGACCCAACAATTGATTGCATTGGTTGGGGTTACGAAAATTCCACGAAACCCATAATCCGGAGGCGACTCCTGTGACGCCCGACACTTTTGTTCAAGGAGCCCACGCATAGTAATGTAAGCTCATTACAAACATAAATGTCAGCATACGTTGTTCATGTTTCTCATACAGACCTCGTTGGTAAGTTGCCGAAGGGGCTACCATAGCCTTGGATCCTGGGAACGCGAACGACATTCAATCATGATGCGGTGATGCGCCTTCTGTGAACCACGTGAGAAGCCCAATCCGAACAATTCCCTTACTAGTACTACTTTTTGTTCTATTCGTAGAAATACTGTTTCACAGTCAATGAGGGATTTGCAGTATCCGGACAGAGGAGGAAGATAATTGCCCTATTCAAAACAACCGGATAAAGGGAAGTTATCCGGATACTATGCCGACGGATAAGATTCCTACTATTAATACTATTATAGTAATACTAGTACATACTTCATAGTATTAATATAGTAGTAACATTGTATTTCTGACAGTGGTTTTAGCAGCTTTAACGATTGGACATTATATATGAAGCAAGGTGGCACTTGCTTCGGGTGAAATATAGCTACGCTATTGTAATATTAATAATTATAGGTGCAATGCACAAAGTCTTGGAAGGGTGGCTATCGGCCAGTGGAGTACAACGACGGTAGAGCACGTCGCTGTAAAGGCTATAGAGGAGAGTTGGTGCAGCGGCGTTAAATGACGTCCGCTAGAGCACTCCGTCCACCATCATAGCTCACTTCACCAACTTCCATCTGCCAAGTGCAGCGGTGTCGAGCGGTGGACTGAGCGATGATGGTGCACGGAGAAATGCTATATCTATGGTGAAGGAAGTGCAGCGACAAGGAAGGACGGTCATCACTGCACGCTTCAGTCAATCTGAAATCGAATGATTTCTCCATAATTCAACTGGCATCCAGAGAACTTTGTCGATACTTCTTTTCTCCATTTTTCATGGGGTATGAAACTTGGGGAATTTTTGCAGACTTTTCAAGACGGTTTAAGGCATAATTCTATGGGGTGGCATCCAGACCAGCCCTTAAAGTAATGTACGGATAACGTCAATGTCATCATAAAGTTTTGCAGTATCTTTATTGATATGGTCACAAGCCGATATGTCCGGATGTTTATACGGATGTGAGGTACGTGGAACATTGGAAAATGGCATCATAAATATATGTCTTGGGGAAAAATGATCATGATCTATTCAGTGCTAAAGAATCTCCACTCTATTCCATCTATTCCGAGTGTTTATGCACCAGTTGAACTTTAGCAATACATTTTCTGTTTGTATCTATAGTTGAGGTTGTGCTATTGTACAGGTTAAGTCTAAGCACGTAACTTTATAAAATGATGCCTTGTAGAATCGAATAATCTATTGCAGAATCTGAATATAAATATTTGGATGTCACTGTCATTTTGAATTATGTGACATGTGATATGGCTTCGCAATTGACATGTCAACTAAAGTACAGTACATACCTGCGGCATGATTGGACATGGTCGGACCACCCCGTCAGCATCTCCAACGGTGTTTTTATTTCTATTGTCAATTCGAAGTTACGGATATAGAATAGAAACTCTTGCACTATCCGGAGGGTTTGTTGCTATTTCACGCGAAAATAGAAATTCTGAAGGACGTAATTTCTAAATAATCCGGATAATGCCAAAATAGCAACCGTAAAAACGAACTTTGACTTTAACCTATGCTTTAGCAATAGGTTAGAATTTACCGTTGGAGATGCCCTTAGGGCATCTCCAACGGGCATCTCCAACGGTCAGGGAGTTACGCAAGGCAGAGTCAAAAGGCCCGTGCTCCTAGTAGTTGGTGGGACCGCCTCGGCCTAGCCCATCAATATTTCTAGACCGGATACTGGCACTGTCTTGTTCCCTTGGTATTCGGAGGAGTCCCTGTACTCATGGTACTTGGTGGGAGGGGTCCAAAAATGCAGATCACAAGGACACATGGTATGAAAACACTAATTAGTATTTAATTTCTCAACTACATTTCTAGACATAACTACTTCAGTCAATGCACTCCATCCACGTAAGGGAAACGTCGTCTTCTGGATCCAAAACCTCGAAAACACCAGTGTCGCAGAGATCCTGCAAGACGTCATCGCCACTAGAGTCTTCGGGATCCTGTTGGGTATTGTCTACAAGATCGGTACCAGGGTCAATAATTTGGCACTTTTCGAATCCTTTCACAATTGTTGTCGTAGGCAGTTCGTCCCAGACATCAGAGATCCACTCGACGATATCCCAGCGCTCAGGACACTTCAGTCGAAGCGCCCTGCCTCCGCCTCGGCCGTTAAGCTCAATTGATCGTTGTAGGTAGTCAACCCATTTACGTCGCATTGATGCTTTGATAGGCTTCATCCATGCAACATCGCCAGGCTGGCATATCCATGTGAAAGTTGGCGGCACACGGTAGAGGTACACTTGTAGGTCCTTCGCTCGTTCGACAACTTCATCAGTGAAGTGAGCGCTAAAGTCATCCCATAGGAGCAAGACTGGGTCCACCGCTTGGCCGCGTCGATGTCCAAAGTGGAAGTCAAGGAAGCGCAAGGAAATACCGGCATTCCACCAGGCCGAAGGGTTCCCATAGATTTGGAGGGGGAAATTGGCTTCGAGGTCTTCGATTTCCTTCCAAACTTGACGCCCAAAACCGTGACGTTGGGTAAGGTTTTCTTGAACAACTTCCTTGATTGTTGATGCTTTACTCTTCAGGACCAAAAACGGAGGATATTTCGTTCCCTTGGAATCGGCCAGAAGCATAGCAGTCACGCGATCCTTGTCGTGACCAGACGCCTTGATCCACACAGTCTTGGCACCTTTGTTGTCTATCGTTTGCT